AATACAATAACCAAAAAAATTGACAGAAAAATAGATCTATGGGAATGATGTGGATTATGATGATGACGTCCCTTAAGTGTGAGACAGAGTGAAACTCTGTTGTACACCACACATAGGTTGGTGATGCCCCTCAAAGTTTGAAGTATAGTGAAAGACTGATCACACGTATGTGGTGTTACTCCACACATTTCCCTCTGTGTCCTAACATTGTTTTCAAAATAAATAAAAAAATAATTCTCATGGGAAGTATAAAAGGAAATAAACTGTTGAAGGAGAATGGTGAGAAATAGTAAAAAAGAAATCAGAAAGTGAGAATAAAAATGCCTACCTCTAATATATCCTCTAGCCTGAACATTTCATTCATTTTTGTGGGCTTGTCTATCAAAGTTAAACTGAAATATTTTCAGTGGTTTAAATACAGAATTAGGAGTGAAGTAAGGGATTGGTGCCTAGAAAGAAGGAAGCCTTTAGAGATTAAAATCTGATGTCATAGGCAACCAAGAATTTAAAGATTGTAGCTGGTATCCCATGGATGTGATCTGACCTGCAGACTTAATTTTTTTGCTATATATAGTGGTTTTTTTTTTTGGTAACCGTGATCAAACTCGGGTCCTTGCACTTGCAAGGCAAGCGGCAGAACCACTGAGCTAAATCCCCAGCCCAACTATATATAGTGGTTTTTTATTTGCATTGGTTGCCAACATTGAAGTTTAAGGAGACTTTACACTTTTTAACATTTCTTGGAAAGTCTGAGAGTGTGAGACAATTCTTAAGACGAACAGAGATTCCTCCAGAACGGTTCCCTGGGGACCCTCGACTGCTTCCAATAAGCACACAGCTCCTTTCTCCTCCCCTGCCCTACCTACTGGGTTCCTGGCTCAGAACAGGAGGAAGTGTAAACAAGAGTAGAATGAATAAGTAGGCAGTTTAGATGAATAATTTTCTAATGATAAGATCTGGGATATTAGGACACAAAAATGCCCAGGCTTGATTTTTTGACAGTCTTCAATGCATGCTAGGAATCCTACCTTAGTTTTTTTTGGAAGGGGCTTTACAAAATCACTTATTTATATACAGATATAGTACAGTATTAGCTCATATATTTTCTCTATAAGCAGCCTTTTGAAATCTTTGTACCAACTCTCTGAAGATGTTGCCAGTGTTATTTTCCCATTTTATCGATAGCCTATAAAGTACATTAATTAGGTGCCAGGCTTAGTCCATGAATGATAGAACAAGGCTTACAAAACAGTGGTTATGTCTTTGTACTTGATATCCTTCCCACTCTATGTCAATGATGATTTCTAGTGCAATTAAAACATGAACTTGAATGTTAACTCCCTGTCCTAGAAAACCCCTAAAAACTGAATTTTAGAATATACACTGTCCAGTCTAGTAAATCTTAGATATAAACCTTTATTCTGCATTAACCTATTTGTACCCTGTATGACTTTGAATCCAGAATTGTAACATAAAATTTTATGCTTTATAGTTTTGTGGAGTTTGAATTCTTTTACTTTAAAAAATTATAATACACAGAGAAAAGTATATATCTCATACATGTATAGCTCAGTGTATTTTTTTGCGAATGGAATGCACTCAACACAAACTGATCAGCATCCAAATAAAGGAAAAACATAGTATCAGCTCCTCAGAAGTTCCTTCTTCTTCAGCCTCTTCTAGTCATTTCCCTTTTCTTCTCCCAGGGTAACCACTCTGCCAACTTCTAATATCAATCTCTAGTTCTTAAAGTATGCAGTTTAATTGTGTGTGCGTGTGTGTGTGTGTGTGTGGCTGGCTTCATGCACAGTAAGCAGGCACCATAACACTGAGCTACACCCCAGCCCTTTGATTGTATTCTTAAGCAAACTGAAACCTCACAAGAAATACTGACTTTCTTGATATTCCCCATTAAGATCTATAAAAAGTGTTGCTCTGGGCTAGACCAAAGACTACAGCTCACTGTGGTTTTTTGAAACAAGTTTTTTTGAAACAAGTGCCCTTTTATGAGAGGGCAGGCCCATTTACTTCTTTGCTATGGTCCTAACATAAGACACATACTTGACCATTCCAGGCTACCTCTTTATGATTTATATGGTTCTAGTGCCAAGAATGTACTTAAATTTACCCTTTCTTTTTATAAAATGACAGTATTCTGCCAATCTCTCCTAAATAGTTTCAATTTGAAGGTAAGTGCTTTCTGTGATTTAAAGTAATGTTTAGATGTGTATAGGATAATTTTAAGAGTGCTTAATAAGTACAAAGTGCTGTAGTCAATGTGAATTTTGATTTAAAAAGTCATTTTCTGATAGATTTCTCAAATTTAGAAAATGATATAGTTCCAACAGGTCTGTGATAAATTTTCTTTGTTATTTAGTAAAATTATAGTTCATTATAAGAAATGTATGTTTTATTTCTAAAGTAAGGTAAAATTCCAAGTTCTTTTTTATAATAGCATATTATCCTGTGATAACATTAATCCCCATTTGGAGTTGACCCAGGTGCTAGATTAGTTAAATTTTCCAGGTAAGGACTATGTTAGGAACACATCTCACTGTTCCTCTCTGTGTGAGACAGAAGTGCATAGTCTGAAATTCTGTCTTAGGACTACTGTTCTTTCTAACTTGCTTTTCATTTATGTACTTATTTTGAATGCATCTATTAGCCATAAATTTTCAATCTAGTAATCTTGCTTTTCATTCCATAATATATAATAGGTTACCTAGAGGGAAAATCATGCAGGAAAAAGAGAAAATTTTCGAAGTCATTGATAAATGGTTAATCCAACCTAATGTAACTGCAAAAGAAAAAAATACTCAGTATGGAATAACAACTAAAAATGTTTTCTGCCTGTACTTAATAATCAGTACATGATTTATTCTCAGTCTGTCAAATCTGTAGAGAGGGTATTTTAGGTATACAATATAATGAGATTCATCATTAGAAATTTGTACCTTTACATAATCTCTCTTGGTTCTTATTTTTTCCCCCTTCCCCTGCCCTCCCTTCAACCCCTCCATCCCTCCCTATTTACAAAGACTTTGTTTCCAT